AATATATTTATTACTTTTCCAAATGAAATTGTACACATTTCTCTACAGATATGCAAGCAATATATAAAATTAGCATTCTATAAAATTATAAACCTTTGAGTTTATAAAGAACAAAGGAGTCTAAAAAGCTGTAGTTGCAAACATTCACATTTTATTAATCTGACCAAAGATTTATACTATTATTATTATTAAAATGTCTTGTTGAAACAGATTGTCAGTTGGTTGCTCATTGCACAGTCTTAATGATGCTTAACTTATATCATCTGCAAAAGATATTCCCTACGTTGTGTTGCATTTCTCAGGCATATAGTATATTAGTTTTCAACTATAAAACAAGCATTTTGTTGTTCCGTATGTGTTGGGTAGATCTTCTGCTCATCTAAACTGTTAAAGCTCCTGCTAAAGCACCTGTCTATCGTACTATGCTTCCTTATATTAACAAGGATCGTTTTTACGGAGCAAGAAGTAATATATATATTGATACGTGTGTTCGCTTTGACAAACGGGTAAACAGGAGAAAATATGAATCAACTTTCTTTTGAAAAATCATCATAAAAAAGAAAAAAAAATTGTCAAAGCAATATAATCAATTTTGCTGTGCAGACTTTAGGTAATTTTTCTGCAAATGTCTCCTCAAAAGTGCATTTGAAGGGATAATGCTAAAATTTTCAAGATACTTCAAATGACCAAAATTTCCTTTTCCTTTTTCCTTGTGGGAAAAAAATTCTGAATCTAGCAGACCTTGTTAATTTTGTTGGTGGCCCATTCATAAGAAACTCAGTGCTATGACTGATGAATTTTAGTTGGCCAGCATGCATATATGATCACTTCCAGACTGACACGAGTATCAAAAGATTTTTTGTAGTTATTACTCAGAAGGGAAGAGATGAGTGTTTTCTGCCCATAGGACTTCAATTGTATTTTGGAAACATGAGATTAAATGCTACAAAAGCTGAAGACTGACTCATTTATAGGCACTAATTTCTTATACAAGATGAAAACTCAGACCTTTTTCCTTAAATACATGGGTATCAAGGTATGAATCTCACATGACACGACTTTTTATCCTTCTTAGACTTGTTGCTATGTACACATGGATCAGCCATTGTACAGCAGGAGTTAATACCCCATGTAAAATGGCTGGCTTTCATGCTGATAAAACTATTTAAAATCACCGGGTGACCATTTTTTTTTCTTTTTTTCTAGGTGATCATAAAGATAATAGTCTTCCTTTTATTGCAGCTATTAAAGCCTTGTATCAAAAGAGATTATAACCTTCCATAATTTGTAATTTTTATTTTTGATGCATCTACTGGCTTCATGGAGAGCTGTAGAAGGAAAATGTATTGTAGATACCTCTCAATTCCAATGATTTGGGGGAAGATCAAATGTTTCCAAGTGACAGTCAGTGCCTTAAAGGACTGCAGCCAATACACATTTATATAATGTAATCTACAATAGGTCAGTCCTAAGGTAGACCTTAGGATACAATGTATGATTAATCTTTCTTATCATTAAGAAGTGTAATTGCAGGTCATAACTCATTAGAATTGGTTTCATCTTAGATGAAGAGCGGGCTCCAAATTACTTACATTGTCTTCACACATCCCCAGTTTTGTTATATTCCATCTACTCCAACTGCAGATACTTCATATATTGAAAGAGGTATTTTCCATGAAAAAAAAAATGGTATAGGGTTCAAATTGGCAGTTAATAAAAATGAGCCAGCTTGTCTTGCTTTGGCTTTTAAAATACTGTATTCAGACACAGAGCATGCTGTACTCCATGTCTGCATAAAAAAAGTGCATAAGTCTCTGGTACACTTCCATAAAACAGTGTCATCTGTTTAAATATATGCTTATTTTTGTCCTCCCGTATAATTCAGTATTTTTTTTAGGTTTCATTAGAAAGTCACTGATCCATTGAAAATAAGATGACAAATATTAGTACAGGTCAGCAAGCCCATTTATTTACTATAGAGTTTTCTGTTTTAAGGCTACCTTTGAGATCAGGCTTCTTCAACTTGGTTTCTAAGGAAACCCAAAGTCAACACAGTGATAGCCATCCTACACAAAACTGGAAAAAAATTAAAAAGTTAGTATCTCTCCATAGCAGGCTTATAGGGAGCAAGTTTCAAAATAATATTTTATTACCTCAAATTTAAAATACATAAGGTCATTTCGCCTACGGTCTGCCATACAAAAATTGAACATTAGTTATTTAAATGACTTAAAACTCCACAGACCTTTACATAATTATTTTCAGTAGGTAACCTTTTTACACTGGGTAAGGGTAGCTGGCAAACACTTTGTAAAGCATCAAACATTTTGTTCTTATACCAGATATAATCTGGAACTGTTCATCTTTGAAAACTTCCTGTCCTTAATTGCTCATATACAATGATTCATGATGTAAATTGGTATGCACAAGTTATGTGCATTAATTTGTATTTTTCCTTTTGTACTGACAGCTAAAAGTTAGCTTTATAATTAGTGCTAAAATGAATATTACTTTGACTTGAAAACAAGATAGCAGCATACTTTAAAGTATATATACATTCCTTATGCATTTCAAACTACAGCCATGATGATGATAGTTAAGGAGTGGGTTTTTTAGTGGAGAGAAAGGGGGGCAGCTGCAACGCAGAGTATTGGTTTGGTTAAATACAACACATGGACAAAAGACGAAGTCAGTTTTCAGGGTTGTATGGAAACCAATATTTTTCCCAAGCACATAATACCTGAAAAACAGCATATGAAAATCTGGCAGGCTAAGTTCTTACATGTGGGTGTTTTTTTAATGGCAAAAAAATGGGGAACAGATACACAAGGTAGGTATTTCCTTCTTGAAAACTGGGTATTTTTTGATACTGTCAAAATGAACTTTTCATCAGAAGATGAAAATGTTATTTTCTTCAACAGCTGTTCTTGGATTGAAGTCTGAAATTTCAATTTTGTCAAGGAGGATTTTTTTTTGAGGAGGAAGAAACATTTCAACTGACTGTAATATATAAGATAAGAAGGATATATATATTTAGCCACACATGCAGGAATACAGAACCAGCATCTCAGCTGGCAGAACTCATCCAAGTGTCTCTCAAGTCAATACTTGTCTAACATCAGCTGTGAATCTGACCCAAGAAATTTTTGCTTAACGAATATTCCCTGCTCCATGAAATGCAAAAGCAAGTTTCTCAAGTACATAATTCTGAAATAAAAGGAATACCTGTAGCAGTCTAGGGTAGCACAGAGCTGACCTTCTGCACATCAGCACATGTCAGTGACAAGAAACAGAGGTATGTCTTTAACATTACTTAAAACTGTGTTCTTTAAAAAGGCTTGTCGGTAGGGAGATTATTGAAATAATTTCCAGGTCTTCAGAAGCCATTTGCAATATAATTATTTTTCTTTAAGACCACTTAAGACTAAGACTACTTAAAATGCTAATTAATTTTTCATGTCTTGAGTGCTTTTTTCATGATAGAGCCTTCAATGTCCTGGTTACTCACCCGTCTGGTACTTTAATCCCAGTGAGCAATTTGAGATGTGTTCTCTAGGTGGTAGTCATTTTAGTTCTAAAGCTGTTAACAAATATGTATATAAAAGATACTTCTGCAGTACAGTAATAGTAAATACTTTGCACTATTTTCAGGCAAGCATACCAAATTCAACTATGCTGATGACTGTGAGCTTCCATATTAATAGGAAAGCTCCTTGCTGATGTTTATTGGTACCTAAATTTGTAAAGCTGTACCTAAATGTGTTTTAATGTTTAACTGCACAGTTCTACATGACAGCCTTTCAGAATTATATTGAACAATGCTACTAAAGCAGTACTACACAAGAAATGTAGTGTACAGTATTGCAGAACCTAACTTGATTCATTTTAATTTTCTAGTTACATTGGAGAATATACTATTTTACCAAGTGCAACTCCCACTTCATATTTTGCTTTCTTCAATATTCTTTGGGCTTTTTACAGTTGCTTTTAAAACTTCAATTAAGTTAGTGTATCGCTGAATAAGAATCACAGAAATTGATGATGATGAATAGTATCATCTGACAAGGAACAGCTATTCTTGTTTTCTAGTGCAGTAATGGAATTGTAAAACTTCTCTTTGAGAAAATTCACTATGCTATAATAGGTGTAGTTAATTAAATGGGGAAAAAACTCTGCTTTTGATAAATATCTTCAGGTGGATAGGGTTCAACTGAAAATGTAAGTAAAATGTGGATAGCTGCTCCAGTAAGCGACCAAAAAAAAAAAATATTTATCAATGCCTGATTTTTATGCTGATCTTCATAAAGTACAGTGCTTGCTTCTGATAAAGAGGTTGTTCCAGAGCTTGTGGCCAATATAGTGCGTGCTACAGCATTCAGAGATGCACATACTAGTCTAGGTTATTCCACTGCCACTGATTTTTACTGAAGGTTTGTGTGCTTCATCAAAGATCAGAATCAGGTCCTTGGGTTTTTTTTCTCCCCTACAGACTTAGACTCTTCATCTTCAAGTGGCCAATCCTGAACTACTCTCTTGTGAGGCTCAAAAGTAGTAGCAGCTCTTCTTCAATATCTGATTTGCTTATCTGTGTGAAAAATGGAGGTACTTCAGTCAAGTAGGCCTTAAATGCCTTCAAGAGGCATTTGGATTTTATATTTCTGCTACACATTGCTTAGCATGGCATGTGATATTTTTATGGGAATGGTGAACCTCAGTATTAAGCCCATTTTTGTTCCATTTTCATGTGGAAAGGCAAACTGAAGACCACATGGGCCTGGCTGAGGACTCCAGAGTCCCCTTTTATTATTTCATTCTCTCAGGTGTCAGACATCCCTCCATTCCCTACGAGGTGTCCAAGCCAGATGGGCATCCTTCCTGTTTGAATAGTGCCGAGCTTTCTCCAGGCTGGTGAGAATGTTCCACAGGACTATCCAGTCAAGGACACATGAGGGGACTTTCCACCGTTCTTTTCTAAGACAAAACTTATCAAGTAACAAATTTGGTCAATTTAAGAACTCGGCAGAGAGGCTTCTACTGTACCTAGCAGATCGGAATTTGAGCTCATGGTAACATTGCACGAAGCTATGATAAATGAAAGTAATTGGCAAGGCTAGTAAAACAATGCCACTAACCACACAAATTCCTCCAAGAATCCTTCCAGGTACAGTGATGGGGCACATGTCACCATAACCAACTGTGGTCATAGAGATGATCACCCACCAACAAGCAGCAGGGATGCTGGCGTAATCCTTATTCTTTGTTCCCAAGTCCAGCCCATTTTCAAGAAGCTGGGAGAGTGCACTGAAAATTGCCATAGCAACACAGATAAAGACAAGTAGCATCACCATCTCTCTGTAACAGCGCTTCAGAGTCAGCCCAAGTGTCTGAAGGCCAATGAAATGACGAGCAAGTTTAATCACCCAGAAAATCCTCATCATTCTTAAGACCCTCAAGGTGACTCCAGCCCTCTGTAGCTGCGAATTTTCCCCGGTAAAAACTGTCATTAGAACAGAGATGTAGTAGGGAGTAATTGCCAGTAAATCAATGATGTTGAGAGGTCTTCTGACAAACTCACACTTGTTTTTGGAGACGATGAACCTCACAATGCACTCTGCCGTGAACCAGCCTATGCAGATAGCTTCAATTATCCTGTCAAAAGAAACAAAGTACAGTATTTATGGTCTGCAAAAACACTTCAGGGGATGTTGGGTTTGTTCACAGACAGCACCGAATTGACATTCAGACCTTCACAGACAACAAACAGAAAGCCACACTATTCATATGCTGAGCATGTAGCACCAAGTTTCTGCAATTAACCTGTGGATTTACTGAGAATTTTAAAATGATGTCTGCTAAGATCTTGCTTATGGATTGTCTTCTAAGAATTATATATCGCTATTGGTTCTGGTACTGTGCAAATTTTCCTAAGAAATCTGGAATGCTACAGGACATTAACATGCCTAGCATAAACTAGATTTCTTTTTTTCAACAGGGAGGCCTCATCCACTCTATGAAGATCAAGGACTGCAGATCAGTGAACTGCCTGATTACTGCCGGTGGTGTACTTGACTAAAACAAAAGTAAACATGGAGTGGGTGGAAATCAGCTTTTGAATTAGATCACCCGTGCAGATTTGGGTCTTCACAATCAGTCCATCTGGCTTCCATCCCAAACAGGGTCTTACCTAGAGCCTTTATGCAGAACTTCATAGGCGTAGCCAATAAAAACAGGCAGCATTTTGTTGTTCACCAGTGGATACGTGCTACACTCTGTATTAGTTGAAATCTTTCTATTTTAAATGTAATTCCACCTAAGATGTGTTGTAGCAAAAATGTCAAGGTAACCAGAGCAATAAGCAAGACTGTCTCCTTGCCAAGTACAAATAATGGCCTTGATAAAATAAAACACTGCTGTCTAAGAAGGAAAATTCAGTACATTCTTGTGTATTTTAAAATTCCACTGCAGTGAATGAGATTTGAGAACATGCTTTCACTTGAAAGGTAGCAAGTGAGATGCTTTGTGTACCAAGTGTCTCATTACAGATCTGAAAATTGTTCTTTTCTTAAGAATTCAAACTGTGCTCACTTGTTTAATAAAGGAGGGGATAAGACCTAGTGTTTTCCCTCTTCCTTTGTTTGCTTATCTTATTTCACAAACATTTAAGATAAAAGCAAATCACCAGTGTCATCATCTACCAACAGGTCTGCAACTGATGTGGCATTTGAGATCTGAAGGTACTCGATGAAACCAGAGTTTCCACTACAGCAGGAGATCCTAACAAGGTAGTATTTATAGTAACTATAACTAAGTCATAAGTCATTATCTAAATGTCATTTGAAAACATTAGGAAAACAATGTTCTTCTGTAACTAATACTAATAAACTTCATGAACTAACTTTCATGGGAGTTTCATAAATTTAAATGTAACATTTTAAATTCATATCATATACTTTGGTTTTATGCTAAAAACAGAGGATATAGTAACTGGCTGTTGACATACTCATAACTTAAACTTTAATTCCAAACATAGCAAATTTAAATGAACACGGGTTAACTCCATAGAAATAACGTAGAGCTATAAAGATCAAAATAGTTTTCTCTTACAAATTATTCTCTTAAAAATTAAGCTTTTGAAAATACTCATGCTTCCTTTAAAAATGATAATAAGTGATGCCTCAGGTGCTGATTTGATTTCTTTAAAAAAATATATTTGGTTCATAATGTCCTTAAATCAAAATGCTGATTTTCTTTGTTCTATGAAACTTTTTGTATAAACATGGATACTGTTTTAATTTATTACTCCTTCATGTTGCAAAATCAAGAAAAAATGTTTTCTTCCAAATACAGTGTGTTTTCTCTCTCATCCTTATTATAGACATGATGAAGAAAATACTAATAAAGAAAAACATAAAAAGCAGCAGGATCATGCTAATGATAAAGTCTGAGTGTACTTAAAGGTTATTGGCTAATTGGGATCTCACAAAATACTTGAAAAAAATGTAGCTGGATATAAAGTTGCAGCTAGGAATATTCTACAATCCAGTGGACTCTATTCCATTACACTTTATGAAATTCATCGGTAGTTCTGCCTATGCTCTATGAAAGAAAAGAAAGCTATTCTTAATTTCACAAATTAAAGATGTTTCACTTAGTATTTTCTCCTATGGAGGAGGACACTGAAGATATGATTACTCCATTATAAATTAAGTAAGTTATCCCTGAGCCAAGATGTAATGAAGTTTGGTCCAGATCTGTCATTGTCAGAGTCTTATCTGTGAATCAGTATTGGTCTGTTATGACTTTGGGGAATGGTTTTGCCACTGAAAGTCGATGTTACATGAAATGTGATCAATTCATTATTTTACTCTGGAGTTCTACTACTAGCAGTTTTTAGCTGGAGAGATACTGTAAATCAATTATACTGCGCTAGGAAGGACTGGAGATCCATTTGTTGTAGAACAGACTTCAAGAGACCTAAGGAACATCACTGACATAAAAATGACAAAGATCAAGACAGTGCAAAATGCATTATTTCCTTTCCATTATATTTTGCATTTCCATTTCTCCATGGTTTACCTAGCCATTTTTTCCATCCATTACAAACATCCTGGTTAAGGAAAAGACGTGGAACTGTCTGTGGAACAGTTTGATTCCTCCTCTTTATACTCCTCTCTGCCGTTATAAGTGGATTTCGGCAGTCCTGATCAATCGCATCAAAGTGAGTAAGCGCTCTGCAAGCGCAACTTGAAACCTCTGCCTCTTGTGAAATTGAGAGCACTATATATTAAGTTTCCACATTCTGATTAAGTTTGCCTCTCTCTTAAACTGACTTATCTTCATCACCAACTTACATACTTGTTAATAGATAAATAACATCTAGTTAATGCTTAGTCCTTAAAAGAATTTAATACGAAGTAAAGGCAGCTAAAATGCATTCACTTGGAAGACTAAAGTTAGTATATCTTCTGTAATCAGTTCTTAAGATATTTGCTGCATACTCACATGACAGACTGCCTGTTATTCCTTACTCCTGAAATAATATGCAATTTAAAAATTCTGTACCTATATAATTAATAAGCTTTATATGGTAGAACATAGCACCTATTTTATACACTTCTGCCATAGATTTTGGTTGTTTTTTTTTTCCCCGTATCAATTTAGTTTTAAAATAGTTGCTATTCAAAAGGGAGAGAGGAAGGTGGAAACAAACCCATGAACTGTTTGCTCAAAGATCCCCATAAAATTCGTGAATAATCAGATAAAATACTAGGTCTTAATTTTTGCTTGGTAACGATTATTTTTGCTTATACTTACTGTTCTATGATCTTCATCGTCCCAGACCTGAGCACAGGAGTGATTATTTTTCCCTTAAATTTTAAGCCTCTTGGTAGTTAACAGCTTTTCATGATTGCTTTAATCATGATTTTCATCATTGCTTTGTTCATGAACTGAAATTCAAGCCGTTGTGAGCTTCATTTCTTCTGTAATCCAATCACTGTTTAATTTTATTCCATCCGATAACCTCCTTTCAAAGTAAGCTATTTTACATACATATTTACTGAGTTAAACTTTCTCAGAAATATTTCAATCGTTAACAGGACTAGTTTGTTACATGAAAAGGATGGTATTGTGAATGTCTTAAAGTATTTTGGCTTAGCATTGATCTTCACCTCAAAGTGCCAATTTTATGCTTTTAGTATCTTCTGGTGAGTTGGCTGAAATCTTCCCAAAATATTCATTAGCAGCACTATTAGCAATTAAGCTTGTAAATAAAACATACACATCTACAGGACACAAGGAAAACGGATGACATGATTTAAAGAGACAATATGACAGGATTAAAGATTAAACTCTGCCAACACTGCTTAGTTAAATTGTTGCTAAAATCTATTTCCATGTAAAGCACATTAAAACAGAAAAATGTCCAAACAACAGCTATCCTGCTCAGGAATACTCCGAGTCATTTCAGCAAATAACGCTTCTCAGTCCTTTTAAAAACAACAGAATTTCTGCCCGACTACTGGAGGAACTGGAGAAGAGCCATAAAACAACCAGTTTTACTGTATTAAAAACTTTCCTGGCATTTCTCTGTTCTATCCTTGATTTGGTAGTAATAATATGTCTCAATGCATGAAACTGGTGCTTGCCTTTATACCGGAGGGACATAACGAAATCTGTCTCAGCACCCCTGGGGGAAGAGCCAAATACCTTTCACATCTGTCAGAGACTATCCGGACATGAACATCCAGACTCTGGGGTCTTCAGCATCTTTCCTACCTTCTTTGAGCGTGTGCATAGCACCTAGCTCTGGTAAGCTCTTCTCGGTGTCCTGTGCCTGGGAAGTGATACAGGTCCATTCTTTGTGTTACTTCTTTCTTGGAATGCCTTTACCACACTTTTGAGCATCTCAAAATCCATCAGAAAAATCCACATAGTTATTTTTAATTTAGGTGTTTTCCATCTTCATTCTTTCAGAATTTAGTGTTAAATGTTTGGGTTAGATCTCATTCAAGGAGGGAGTAGGATTATATTTTTCTAAACAGATGTTAGACATGAATATTTGGTTTCCTGAAGTTCCACAGGGTTAATGATTTCTGTACCTCCAAAACCTAAATGTAACTTTTTAAACTGATGTTTTGCAGAGATGACAAAATCCCATTGGTGGCTGTTTAGAGATGCTTTTTGAAAGAGTTAAGTGTTTATATGCTTTTGCTTAAGAACATAGCAGTAATATGTTTGATAACCGAGGGATTCTTTCAATACAGATTTAATCATGATTCAGTAAGTGGAAAAGGGACAACAGTCTCTTCCTTATGCTAACAAGCAATTTGTATTTAGCTTTAGAAAAACAAAGAAATACAACATTGTGCTGGCTTGAAGTCAAGTGGCCCCAAATGGCTTGCTGTTATAGGGCTCAAGAAACTCCACAAAACACTGTGCTTATCATGAGTTTATAGACAGGTGTCTGATCAGAGACTCTCGGTGTGCATCTCTTGGCACAGTTCAGGAGAGAGCAAAGATGACTTGGAACTGCCAAAAGCAACAGAAGGGGAGACAGGTGTCCCTGCTGTCTGCTCCTAAACTGTGCTAATCTGATGCAAATCTTCAGCTCTGAGAAGTGAAACATGCCAAGGCAGGGAAGAGAGCAATTTTTTTTTTTAATGTCTCTTTAATAATTCATTAAAATGTCATTTTCATCCCTCATTCTGAGACTGGTCCTGGGGAAAGCAATTCCTTTGCAAACCAGGGAATTATATTCTGTCAGCATCTCTAGTAGTTGTGAAATTCAGAATTCAGATTCTCCATCCCTTTCTCCTTAAAAAGTCTTACTCTTGGAGTTCTCTATTGCCCTGTCAAGGGTGTTACTCCAAAGGATCACAAACAGCCTTACAGACTGTTCACCCTTTACTTCCCCGGTCACAGTGAAGAGTCATAACAATATAACAGTTTCTCAGAAAGATCAGGAAAAGTTTGGTGTAGATTTCTAGTGAGGAGAAAAATATAGCTGATAGGAGCTGATAACAGTAGTAACCCTTATTTCTAACCTCATTAAAGAGGCTGACATAGTAAGTGACAGCTACTCTCTCCCATCTAAAGACGATGCCTCGACAAGGGGGAGACGCTGCTAGCGCCACTTTCAGTGCAGCTACCCACAGTGGTTCTGTGGATGGTCACCACATTGCAGCCACGAAAATCAACAGTGTGGCGTCTCTCCAAGGCGTAAGTAACATAACATAATATTGAGGAAAGGGCAGGGTTTGTTTTGTTTTGCTTTTTTATTAGTGAACATGAGAGGCTAAAAATATCTGAGCAGGTTTCAGAATTGTTGGTTTTCTTGAAACAATTCCTATCCAACAACAACTTCTTCTCAGTGTCTCTTATTTTGCTCTGATAAGTCAACTGTATTGAAAATTTACGTTCTAAGGAGTTCCAGATAAGCCATATAATTTTCATTTCTGAAAGCTTTCAAAATATGTTTTTAGAACAACATAAAGTCTCTGTACTTGTAGTTACAGTGCCGGATGTCGAAAAATATATAGCATTAATGTCACAATTTCTCTTAACAAAAATATTATTGTATTGTAATACTAGATAGAATTTCTTGATTTCAGTGAGGAACTCTGCTTAATAAAGAAAAGGCATAATTTGGCTTCAAACTGTTGAGCAGTAACTCGTAGCCAAATTTTAAAAGCATTCCCACTTAAGATAGGTGATTTTGTCAAAGTGCTCAATTACAGACATTGCTGTGTGATTCCTATGACCTGATTTTCAAATAAACCTAAGCAATTTTAAATAAATGCATGCAAAATCAAAGGAAATATAATCAAATAGAGAGATGAAGTCAAATGAGAACTGGACATTAGGTCAAATCCTATGGCAAGCAAGTGGTTGTAACTTTACTGTATCACTCAACAGTAACTGTGCCTTCTTTTTTCTAGATACAATGGGTTTTTTAGTCACGTTACATAAAGAAAGGAGTTGCTCCTATAAGCGAACAAGGTCACCTCAGAAGGTGACAAGATGTGGACAGGAAGGAACACATTTGGTTTTGCTATCAAAGTGTTCACCGATAAATCACTATCAACTCACATGCAGTAATAGCACATGGCTCGTCACCATTCTGTCTTATTGTTTGCATCAAAGGAACTTCTGCAAGAACAGGGTGACAGCTGTTGAACTTCAACTTTTACAGTAAGTTACTGCTCTTTTTTTGTTGTTGTTGTAATTCCATAGTACAGTCCACAGTCAGCACTGAGGAAACTCAGCCATCTCTGATAGAAGTCCCTAGGGTTATTTCTGAAAGCAGTATTCACTGCCCTGTGAAGTGTTCAGCCACCCTATGTTGTGCAGAATATTTAGGACGTTAACCTTCAAGTGCTTGGTATATAATATTCAATTACACAGAGGCATAAAACTGTGTGTGTGTCTATGTATTTACACACACATTCCTGTAAACAAAGGCACTGTGAAAGGAAAATGGTCTAACATATATCTGCAAGTTAAATTCTTTCACTAAGTGAAAAGTTAACTTCCACAATACAAAGATGTAAACAAAGATACAAAGTCACGAATGGTCCTGTTGCTTATGTTTTCGCATATCTATCAGCAGCATCTAAGAAATTTGCTGTCTTAAAAATCACCCGAAGCATCCAATCTTTGAAGTAACTGCAATATGGGAGCAGCTGTGCAAGGCTGAAATACGACTTTTTAATTGGAAGAGCCCCAAAAAAGCAACTTTTGACATATCTGAATCTAATCAGGAGTCAACTGTATCTGCCCCTGTATCTGCCCTTTTTTTTTGTTGTTGTTCATACAGTAAATTCTTTGGCTCAGCTACAGTCAGAATTACAGGTGCAGTTTTCCATTAAGTTAATGGAAACTATGAAAATACTTTCCAAGGAATTAATTTGGCTACTAAGGTATAATATATCACATTCCAATTAACTCTAAGGTAAAAGATGGACATTTCATAATGACAGGATCGCAATTTCACTGTAGGGTCCCCTTAGCAGAGCAGAAGCTGGAAACTTTTTGTTGTATATTGTACTTCCTTAAAAGAAGGGAGAAGGGAGAAGCTAGAAGCTTTTGCTAGAAGAAACATCTACTTTCTTTTATATGTCTTATTTGTGAGGGAAATCCCACTTATGTGATCTCGATTTTGTTCTCTAGAGAATAGAAAATAGAGAGTAATGACACTGGAGTCAGTGGAGCCAATGTACCTTTAAACAAATCACAAGAAAGATGGAAAAGGGTTTGCTCATACTAATAAGACTTGAGATTGAGCTTTATAGCCTCACAGCCTAGGTTTCTGCAGGAGGTTTTCCACATCATTTAATGTTCTTAGACTTTTTTTGTCTAAAGCAAATCTAAACATCTGTTGCGTTTATATATTGGGGCACAATATATTTCATTTGCGAGAGCTTAACCCTCAATTTGATCATCTCCTGCGTGCCCACATGGAGAATCTGAGGACTAGGAGAAAGGCTGCTGCCATATGAGAGGTTTTACAAGATCGCAACTGTAACATGCACCGGATCTGCTCCAAGAGCAGGGTTGCATGCACACACGGTAGAGCACATATTGCACTGTGATTTTCCCAAAGTAAGGGCGAGCAAGCTGATTTACAATCTTTAAAACAAACAGTTTAAGATATGCTTAGTGTGCTTTCTCCAAGATTCACAGATCAAATGTATTTCAAAATCTGATTTCTTTTATATTGTGCTTTGCTGTATATAGTTTTTATTTTCAATATGATTTAGCGGCGATGTGGAAGGGCTCCCAGCCCCTTTCGGGCGGCCACGGCTACTGAGCATGACGACGAGCGGCGGGACACACCGGACGGGACACACGGGGAGCGCACAGCGGGAAAAAAAAGGATCCTCCTACCCTGAGGGCTCCCTCACTGACTCTGCTGTGTACCTGCTCTGCTCCTCCACGCTGCGGTTCTCCGGCGCGCGCCACTCGGGCAGCGTGCTGGCGCACAGCACCACCATGGACACGATCACGAAGAGGATGGAGACGGTGGCCAGCACCTGCGCGGCCCCGGAGGACGTGGGCTCCTCGAAAGTCCTCCTCATCCTCTCGAGCCACCGGC